GTTTGATCGAAGTGAGGAAGTGAAACAGCAACGCAAAAGTCCTTCATTCCTGTTTGTTTTCCTTTTTATTAGTCAACTTACTCGTCTCTACGGCTACTACTACTACCAAGTTTCGTAGTTTGATTGTACTCCGCGTTACTTCCATCCTAGACTCCTACGCTACTTTCCCTACTTATGTATTGCTGTCTCTTAATTTGGCCTACACTTGGGCTGTTTTAATTTGCTACTGACTCCTTAAATATGGCCAAAACAATCCTTGAGACTAGGCACGATAAATCAGATGCATTCTCCAGGGATATTAAAATAGATAAATGTAAACCTGAGGGACTATCGAAGGCTGAAGGAAAATTCAGGCACATGCGTATTCTAACGTTCTGTCGGTTGATCGAGAGGATGAAGGATAATAGATAGGAGTTCTTTCCTGTCATCCCCGCAAACCAGGCAACCCCTCTTGGCTTTCAGGCTTGCAGTTTTGAAAAATGAAACATTTTAAACTGAGGATGCTCATTAATTGACAAAGCCTATCCATTACAACCTAGTAAAAACCGTGATCAACTGAGCCGATGACTGTCAGAATTTAGGGCCTCATTGCTGTCGTTAGCCTTATCCAAGACTATGTATGGGGTGTGCAGTCTGATTTCTGGGGTAAAGGTAGTTGTTAAACAGGAGCATCCTAGCGTGGTATCCGTGTGTCAGATGTGACTGATACAAGTAATTGAGGCTGAAATTCCCTTCACCTAACTCTAGTGGATGAACTGAGAAGAATCAGAACTGTCGTTCACTAAGGTCCTGTGGGATTCCCTCCCTTGAAATCAACACAAAAATGTACTGTAGTGCGACCTGAAAAGTTACAAAGAACTCTGTCGAGCTTGTTTTTCATGCCATCAGCCAGAGGCTGATACAACTGCTGATATAAACTTAATGCAGTTCATTTAAAAGGCAACGGATTCGTATCTCTTTCACGTCCATATATCGGATGAGTTCCAATCCCTTTCGTTTCTTCCCCACTGCTACCTAATTTGTAGTCGTTCGGAGATTCCGATGATAATTGCATAGTCAATACTCGGCCGAAAGTACCCTAGCGTACTCACTGATGGCTATATGGTCATACTTTTGGGCTCAAATATTTTCATATAAATTAGACCATTGAAGAATGCGACTTCATTTGGATGCAGTGGCCACGAGCTTACTTACCCCAGTATCTAAGTCATCTGCCACTGAACCACCACAGCGACGAACCTCAGTAAACCTGGCATATGAGTCTGAAAAAGTGAGGCAGGAAGACATATTGTTTTCGCCCCAAACCTAGCACACACAAGCTTATGAAACAGAAGTAGTCAGGTTTGAACTAGTGGAGAGTTACTAACGGCATGTATGATGGTATAGCCGAAGAACTGACCTGAAAATCCCTCCTGATCAGTCTATTTGACAGTATCGACATTTATTTGGATATTTTTACCCTCGTTACAGATATTGTGCCATTGACCCAAGCCTATGTAGCATTATTTGGTCATTTGACTGTCTTCTTTGGCTTTGCACTCATTATTTGTCTTTGTATGATTGAGACTTATCATGAAAGCTTCACTTTCCTATCATGTGAAGCTGGGCTATTGACAGCGTGACGTCGTTTCACTGCGCCCGACGTTTTGCTTCGGTCCAGCTTGCGACTGCACTGTGTTTTAACTGCTTAACTCTTAAATGGCCACTGGAAACGTTTATTTGTTGGTTTGATTTTGGTAGGTAGTTTCTGATCCCCTTTTGCCGGGAGTATTCTTATTGACTGTCAGGCACTTAGAAGGTGTATTTGTTTGGCCAATTTTGCTGTATAGCTCATATTTGTGCCCGAGAACGTTTGAACTGCATGGTTACTCAACGGCACTGTCAAGGTATTTTTGTAATTTTGATATAACTTATTGCTGCTTTGATAGTACTACATATTTTGTTACGAGCCTCCCACTGATTTACTACCAACCGTGTTATTGACATTATTGATCTAACCTTTGACTGTGCATCACTCGCATAAGTTGGGAAACTATACAGCGGAACGCATGAACTAGTCAGATTGGCGTTAGTTGGCACCGCCTAGTTCTTTCCCGCTTTCAGGCCGAAATCATTGGATTTGGGCTGTTACAGAGACAGGCAAAGAAACTTCTACTCATCATGCAGGATTCTGTTGGTTCATGTATCCTTCATACCATATCGTTTCTAAACACACCTGAACTTTTCGTTTCACTTCCATTTATCCCGCGTTTCTCCCTCTTTGTTTCTATTTGTTAGACCACGAATTCTGCTATCTTTCTTTTGTGGACAGCACGAAAAATTCTAGTGAAGTGATGCATGGGGATCCCATTGGCACCGTAGTTTCAAGGCAAATCAGGCATCTCAGTATAAAACGAACCGTGGCAAAACTATATGCCGGATTTATATCATATAAAGTGAGCGAACGGCTATGTCTAATGCATCGAATCGACCCAAAACGCAGAAGCTTTCCACAAGACCTGCAAGTAAGCACGAAGAAATCAAATGACTTAGACCTTCCTGTAGAACGGATGCTGAATACTAGAAAATTGAATCAGCCAATGTATTAGCATATGAATTCCGAAATACCTCCGATCGGTCCGGGGTGACAGCCTTGGAGCAGCACTAAATCCAGATTGCTGGGATGAGTGAGAGGGACTTTATGAGGCGCGTCCTTATAAATCTACCGGACTCGGCAGAGTTCATCGGCGAATACGCGAAGAGCGGGTATCCGGCAGGCGAACTCCTCCACATGTTCGTCCTTGGGACGTACGTCGTCTTCTAACTGAAGATAAAAGGCAACCGTTCTGGTGTTTAAAGGGGGGTAATAAACTTGGAGCCTTCAACCACTGGCTGGTTTCCCTAGTCTCGGTTTCGAAAGCGATGGAACGAGTAGCAGACGAGTCATTCCATCGGTGTTTCCCCAAGAATTCAGACGGAACCAGCTCTATTTATGGACTTTAACCTGGTCGTTCCCATAAAATCGGCCTGTAGGGGGAGGACCAGTTATACTCAGCCATTTCAGCTGTTTCGTTTAGTCGGCAAAGCCTGTCAATCTCTTTTCCTCCAGAAACATCAAATCATGGGCCTATCTGTGAAGTTGCTCGATTGGTTTGGCGATTATTGTGATAACTGGTTGCGATAGGTTAGAGATGATCCCTACCGGCCCATTTGATTCCCCATGATTGGTTGAGTGCATCTGGGTTTCGATCCCCACCCTCCATTCCACAGTGTTCAAAAATGACCCACCCGACCTCAGAATTTGCCGTTTTGCAAGGGAACACAGTGGATAGAGAACACCTCTGTCCTTCTGGTGAGCCTGACCAGAATTCGAAATCGGGCAGCCGATAAACTGCTTCTCTTTGACTCGGAAAACTGTGGGACAGTAGCTACAAACAGGAACACGCCCAGTTCTATTTCCCAGTATCCAGGGAGAATTAACGATTGCGAAAACCAAGGCCAACTCGTGAAATTACACTGGAGATATTTTTCCCTCCATAATTGAAAAGGGTTTTAGGATCACCCTTTGTGAAACTCCTCGAGCTTTGTCGATTATCATCTCGCGGTGATAAACGCAACTATTTCTGGCGTTTCGTATTTGTATCATTAAATCCCGGTCAATTTATTGTGTGTAGACCACGTGACATACATCTGAACCCGAAAAAGAATTCGTTTACTGTTTCCTTCTAATTGAAAGACGTCGTTTTACAAAGGGCACCAAAGAGAGCTACTAGAGATGTGATTAGACTGTATTGTGAATCGAAGTTTGATTTTGCTAATGGTCTACAACTTCACCTCTTACAAAATGGACAAATCACATGGAGTGCACTATATTTCTCTTGATACTTTATAGCCTAACGCGCATCTGTTAGGATTCGGTCAGTAGCATCTTCTAAGATGCAACGAAAATAATTCCGTAAAGTTTATGTCCTAGGGTTTAGTGATATTTAACGCTGGTGCCAAGCTTCACAATTTCAAAGGCTTGCTTGTCTGAAGGAAAGTAACCAATAAGTAGACCTCTCGAGTGACTGTGGTCAACCGATCACTTGTCTGAAATGCATGACGAAAGCAAAAACCTATTTTTAAACATGACTCACCAGTCTCACACCTCAACAAAAACGAACACGTAACCAGTGGCCGTAAATTCAATATACACAAGATTGTACGGCATTTTAAAACAAGTTCGTCTGGAGAATTTCATTTCTCGAACCTCTTGTCCTTTGATCTGTATATCTATTAGTGACAAATGCTATCTAGTGTTTAATGGTGACTTTTTTAGTGGTTCGATTTTCTGCTAGTCAAGTGGTTCAATTGGTGATGTTTCAATGATAAAAGAGAGAAGCATTTGCAAGAAAATGCCTTAAAATAGTCCAAGAGCCAGTCAAAAAGCACACCATAATGTCGAAACAGTCATACTAAGATAAAAACGTTTCGTGCAATATAAGTGATTTCTTTAAAACCCATAGGATAGAGGTTGCTAGCATATATAAGTATTTAGAGTTTCTCCGGAAATCAGCGTCTCTTTTCACTCATGTTTGTGCAGTGAAATTGTGGATCACTGGCTGAGGTTGTATTTCACTCTTGTAAAGCTTCGAAGAGAGCTTCGGAGAGAGGGCAACTAGTTAGTCACGAAGATATGTAGTACAGTTTCTAAGATTTGTAAAAGGTAGGGCGTATTTCAGCCAGAATGAAGATCCATGCTACCTGTCTTCGCTTTCGAACCTTAAGTGTATGAAATAATCACGTAAACTGTGTGCAGCTTTTCCCTGGCACTTACGAAAAGAGGTTGTTTATCAGCATACTTCCCAGTGCCACAGATGAGGTATACTCTTAAATTTCACCGCCTCCTAACAGAGACTAATGGTTTATATGTCAAGAAGGGAAAGTTCGTAAAAAACGAATTCCGAGAAACATCCATTGGTAATTTTTGGAAACAATGTTTCCATTTGCAATTGGACATTGGTAAGTGCCGCGTTGTCCCTGAAGTATTCGTCACGCGCGCTCCTTGGATAGGGTTGTCTTTCGCTCGTCTCTCAGCTTTTGGATTCTTACACATCGAAAAACTCCCACTTGGAATACTCAGTCTATAAAAAATCGAACGTTTGCAGCACTCCTATTCCTGTACACACTCCATCGCTGCGTATTCGTCAACTCACTTCTCAACAGTTGAAAATTGGCAATATTATATCTTTGAACCGACCAATCTGCCTCCTGTCAGTGGTTCTTGGGTGTTTAAACTGCCAAACTGCCTTAGCTCTCGTTTCTCTTCGGAGGTCATTCCCAGGATACATCTTTCTTGGTTTTACATACACATCTGGAGACTACGGATAAACTCGTTAATCAAGAGCAGAGGAGCAAGTAACAAGTGTCTGAAGGTAAGCCAAGATAAATTGTCTTCTTTTATATATTCTGTCCTTTTACTACATTCAGTCTTCAACCTCCTTATTACTGTTAAATGTTTGTTTTCCCAAGAAGTTTACATAATAGTGACATGTCTGCCCAAAACGCTAGGTCTGAAGCTTTAACACGGATGACGCGGTCGTGCACAACGAGGGACAATAACACCCGAAACAACACTAGTCTTACCCACAGACAAACGGGGGTTGAGCAGAACACCGAACCTAATGAAGCTGCCAACTTATGTTTCTAGAATTCCAGTCGCCATCAAACAGGTGAGAGTAGCACGTAACAAGTTAGCCCTATCTCGGTCAAGGATCAGACCATTCTTATAAAGAGGAGATGGCGTATAAGGCTTAAGAATAAGGCAGCCACAAGCAGTTTGCCACATTCTGTAGCACTTTCCTCATGGAAAGAAGACTGCGTTATGACACCCGATGGCTGCAGTGTTTGTACTAAAGTTGTTTCGGTAGTCAATGAAGCATTTGCATGCAACCATGTCACCGATGGGCGCATTGCCACTGCGACACTAAAGTGCCTCAATAATACTATAAACTAATGAAGAGAACCATGCAAATGGTTCTGGTACATTTGTCCAGAGTGCAGGAAGCTGCCCGAACTCCTCACGGAAAGCCTGAAAGAGATGCTCTCCGCCATGCAAAAGCTACCAACATCCTTAAATAAAGTAGGGATAACATTACAGGACAACACAAAGGGATCTGAAAACAAGCTAGATCCCTAGCTGTGCGCACGCCACCACGCATGGGGACCACAGTAAGTGGGGTCTCCGCACCTACTACCTGACCCCAGAGAACATCGAGCTCATGGCTAGGGACACCGACCGCTAAGTTCTCTACGAAGCCCACCCCAAATATCCCACCCACTGTAACTGAGAAACAATTAGTAGGAATACACAACAAACTCATTGGGAAGTCAGGCGTGTCACCCACAACAAACCCGTCTCAGGAGGGCTAACTCGATCATCTTGTTCAACGTCAATGTGTCGACAGAGAGCGGCTTGACAGCCGAATGGGACCGACTACTGTCAGATGCTGGGACTCCCTTCGCTCCCTGTAACGCTGTGTCACCTATCTTGCGTAAGCCGGGCACCCCTTTACGTGTGTCCCTGAACACTGCCAGAGAGGCCGAAGACACCCTCCTTCTCTCGCGACAACCGGGCATTGTTAATACCTGCAAAATTCGGGCCAGGCCTGACAAGCCATGGTTATTAAGAGAGGAGGAAAGAAAATCAGCGACTGGAAATCCAAACAGAAACAACACTGTAGTTGTACATGGGATTCCAGAACTGCCTATTGACCGCTCGGCTAAAGATCGGTACTTCCATGACGTCCAACAGTGGCAATAGCTCTCAACCAAAGTTGGTCTCTACAGTATGCTGGCTAACAGCGTCAGTAGACTACTGAGACAAGCGCATCCGAAGTCCATATCCACTCCCAGACTGCTCGCCATCCGATTTGACTCACATGCCTCCTCACAGACGTTCTACACGCATGGTATGGTGCAAAAGATCTCATAGGTAGCGCAATACGCATATGTAGAAGTAAGCCTAGACTCACGAGGCAAGAGGAGAGACGGCAACCACCAAGAACTCTGGAGTCAGTGGTTATCACACAGGTACTGACCAGTGAGTCAGATACATCGAATAAAGGAGCTCCCACTGCCACAGCCCCTACCCTAGTTGAAAACAAAACTCAAAAATAACGGAACGATGCCAGTCCTGTGAGGACTGGTGACGCTAGACCTAACCACGTAAGCGCTCCTCTCATGAAAATACACAACCAGCCCTCCCCTCTCACCAGGCACACTCTAGCATGTATGTACAACAACGTTAGGGGAATAAGAGGGCAAGTAGAAGGGATAAGGACGCTACGTGAACGTCAGCACTCTGACATCATATTTATCACCGAATCCTGGTTCTCGCTGGACATCTCCGACAAAGAGGTGCATGGAACCCTTCCGTATGGACAGAGCTCAGAGCAGGGGGAGTGGCTCTCTACGTTAGCTCTCGTTTAAAGGCAAGGATGGTTAGTGAGACGGCCTTAACCCAGCTCCAGAATCTCTATGGTACTAGTTCACTCTCCACTGTACCAAATACCTACTTTGAGTCACATGTATATCCCCCACTACACATAAGGAAATGGTCATCAAGGCAACCTTAACGACTTCTGCAAATTACGATTCCGTAATCATTGCCGGTGACTTCAACACCCTGTCGATCCTCTTCGAGACGGAAGAGGGACACATTAGATCCTTGAATCAGAAGCTGAAGAATGCAATTAAGACTGCTGGCCTCTCAGAGAAAGTGGGTGATGCCACACACTTGGGACCTAACGGAAACACATCGCGCCTTGACTACGTTCTGACGAACGATGAACTCCTCATTGAGGATGTATGCATCCAACCTCCCTTGGCTCAGTGACCACACGGTAATAACCTCCATGATTACTAGGAAGGCCCTGCAGCCGGAGACGCCCAACACCTTCCCTTGCTACAACAAGGCCAACTGCGAGACCATGAGGGACTATCTGATGAATGCATCGTGGCCGGTAGACTGGACTCATCTCACAGTAGATGAACACTGGTTACAGATGAAGGAAATAATCGCTGGGGCCATCAGTCACAGTGTACCATAGGTAACACAGACTGTCAGTGAGAACCTCGTGGCTAAAGCGTGGGACAGAGAGAGGCTTGTCCAGAGCAGGAAGTAGGCTTGGTTCAAGTGGCATTCATCTAGCAGGGAGTCTGGCTTTTTGAACTACAAAAGGATTCGCAACCGCTGCAACATTAGAGTGCGTAGCGACAGATTCTCCCAGCAAACAAACCTGGTGGAGAGGTTACAAAGCAATCCCCAAAACCTGCACCGCTTCATGTCGAGAAGGAAGTCGACCATTAAGGGAGTGAATCTTATCACAGATCATGATGAGAGTGTACTGAGCAGTCCAAAGATTGCCGAGCTTTTGAGCTCACACTTCCAAGCCCAACTTAGTATCAACACTAAATCCACACCGACTCGTTACGACACCAACCAGGTCATAAATAACGATCTCAATCATAGAGAAAAAAGGGTTCGAGAAACTATCTAGGCTACGTTCAGGCAAGTCCCTTGGCTGCGATGACCTGAAACCGGTGGTCCTAGAGAACTGCGCCAAGGTGCTTGCAAAACCAATCTGCAGCCTCTTTAAGCACTCAATATAGAGTCGTGCAAACTCCCTGGATAATGGTAGATCACCATCTTGTCACCCATCTTCAAGGGAGGAGGCAGAAAAAGCCCTTGCAGCTACAGGCCAATCGCTTTAATCCCTATTGTGTCGGAAGTGTTGGGAAGCCTGGTAGCTGACACTATCTGGAAATCTCCCAATAGGGAAAACACAGTGCACACTGCTCAGCATGGTTTTCGGAGTGGTCGCTCATTTGCCACCAACTTACTAACCGTCTTGGACGACTGGACACTCAGTTGGGACAACAGAGAACCGATACATGTTTTTCTCGACCTAGCCAAAGTATTAACAGTGTCCCACCCACAGTCCTACTTCACAAGATCACTTCAGCCAGCATAAGTGAACCCCTACCCTCTTGGTTCAAGGAGTACCTGGAAGGGAGGCAGTTCTGCACCAAAGTAAACAGAATAAGGTCAGAGTGGAAACCATCGACGTCAGCAGTATCCCAAGGAGCAATCCTAGGACCACTTCTGTTCCTCCTGTTTGTCAACGATCTGCCAGACAATATCCTCATCCATCCCCCTCTTCGCTGACGACATTAAGATTTGGAGGGTGATAAGCGAAGAAGCTGACTGTACAGCACTACAAAAGGACTTGCGACAACTCGAACTCTGGTTGTCCTAAAATGGCCTGAGCTTCAACCTGGGAAAGTGCAAAGTAATGCACATCAGTAAATATGAAGCAAGTACGACCGACTTCCAGTACATGTTGAGCAACCGTGCTATCAAGAACAAGACATTCAGCGAAGAGACTCTTTTCAACGAACTTATTTTCAAGCTGTACAATCGTTATATATTGATATTTGAAAAAATTATACCCCACGGGGAAACAAAACATGGTGATGACAATAATAATAGAGCGTATGATGGCATTTGTCATTATAAACAACTGAAGTGCGAATGGTAACCATTAGATTATGTAGTATATGGAATGGTACATAGAGAGTATATAACTCAGAAGGGGGTGAAAAATTGTTGAAAATGGTAAATAAATTAAGTATTAATGTCATTACAAGTTGGACAAGATGAATCAGTGTTTTCTGAAAATTAAGACAATTAGGTGAAATAACACCGGAAGCTAATTAAGAGGGCGATTATAATAACATAATAGTGGTAAGGAAGGATACAAAGGTTAAACAAAGGGGGAGGGGGAGGATGGATTGGGAAATGTTATGGACACGATAAAGACAGTGACCGCACATACTTTGTACAGGTCTTAGTTCATGAATAGCCAAAGCCTCCGCTGTTTTAAGAGTGAAAACGAAGAGAACGTGGGAGGTTTGGGCGAACTTGATAAATAATTTCAAAGCCATCGCCTATCACCAGAGTGTCCATGGAGAAAGATTTGGGGCTCAACTTCTCTGACACCTTGAACACTAGCTCCAACTACAAAGGTACGACAACCAGAGCGGACGCCATTCTGCCTTTTTAGCGTAGACAGCTTGGCGCCCTCACTCCCGAACTCCTCACCGTTTTCAAATCCTACGTGCGACCGCATCTAGAGGTTTTCAACACGGTGGCCCCTTCCCCCAACACTCAGGAGAGACTCTGATCTCCTCAAAAAGATACAAAGAACCGCAAGAAAATCAGTTGTGGGGCTAAGGGGAAAGACACATTCTGAAAGACTTGAACACCTAAGCCTATTTATATTGGATTATCGTAGGTAGAGGGGTGACCTTATTGTGGCAAACAAGATCACCCATCAGGCAGATCACACAAACAAATCAATTTTGCTTGCAA